ATGATGGGAGCTTCCATCTTTAATCTGAAGACACTTAAACGTACGCGCCATCTCGTGGCAACTTTCATAACGATCCAACGAACATCTCTTTTGAGAAGGTTCCTGATACCATCCCTGTGCATTCCACTGTTTCGGCGTGTATGTGAACACATTTGGGACTAACAGGGTTTACTAGAATCCCACCACTCCACCACAGAGTCACCGCAGTAGACGTTAGATGAGCGCTGTCGCTCTGCGGCACTTGTTTGATGGACACAATGTTAAGAATTTGCGGGCACGCAAAAGCTACACCTACTTTGCGAGCGTGACGTAGTGTGACGTAAGAGCAGGCACTCTCGCTTGTTTACCCGTTGCCAAGCGTGTACAATGGAGCCTAATGTGAACACCGATTCAGAGTCGTCTCTAGACTTATCAGTTTCGTACGATACGGATGAGCAGTCAATCAGCATTGATGAAGATGGAAATGAAGTAGACATAGACAATGAAGTTGAACATGTTGAAGATAGGCTAGTTTCATTCAGCCAGACATGTTTGAACCATTGGGCACCGATTACCCGGGCATCGTTCATGATGATGTTCAAGGCAACGTCGAACCAGAAGGAAGACTGCATTTAAGTGTTGCTGAATGGTGAGTTTAGCTCAGTATTTCATTGTAGGTACTAGGTGTACATAATGAAATGTTTTTGCTTTCGGTACAAGCTAAATAGGCCTAGCCAAGTTTTTTTCTAACAGATTATGCAACTGTCAGATTTCCCATTCTACAGACGACAGTACTGACTTTATACTGACTAATTTTCTAAAGAGAGTAGCCGCAGTAGGCCTGACTAAAGAACAGCAAAGCTGACAATAGTCAATAGTAAATGTTTCAGCGTAGTGGAAATTATGACAGGACTTACGTAGAATTTATACACTTGATAATAGTAACAATGTTATTTCACGTGTAATGTGCATTTAGTACTTGTATCGTAAGAAACTCAGTGTATACAGTACGAGTATAATAATCAATATATGCATGTAGTGTTTAACCCTGAGGTCCACTGAAACGTAAACTAACTGGTCCACGAACATAAACAGAAAGTAGAACGGAAACGTATTGCGTATACACTGTGAGCAGATTGGCATGAGCTGAGTAAAGCAGCATAATTGTATCCCCCGAACGAAGTTCGTGGGGATACTATCAAGAGTAGATAATAACACATTATCTATGTTGTTATTATCCATGTTATGTGTTATTATCTACTCTTGATACTATGGGTTTGGCATCGGCGCGGCGCCGCCGCCGCCGCAGAGATTTCTTTGTGAACGCTCTACAGGCTGCAGTTCTTCTCGGATCATCTTCAAATTTCGCATGAAGGTGCCTTATTGTAAAGCGAAGACGCCAATCGTTTTTGGGTGTGGGCGGAGTGATCGTTGCCATGGTAACAACATTTTTTGTTGAAATATTCTAGAACCTGTAACTTCTGCACTTTTTACCCGATTGTCATGAAATTTATATGGTGTTATGGAAAAATGTTTATTATTAGGAATTGTGAATAATGTAAGAATAAGTAAATAAATAGAGTTAATAGTTTATTAAATACTCTGGTTAAATTTATATCGTTATGTTGATAGTTGGCGCACTCAGAATATATATATCTATCAGGATGAGGCTATGCTATCTCATTATGATTATATACTGGACATGTCTGATATCGGGCTCTGTGTTGTGCGAAATTTCCAGTGACAATCGGCGTAAAACAGGCACAAGTTACAGGGTTCATACAATGATTTCCACAAAAAGGTTGTTACCATGGGCAACAATGGACTCTGGCCGCACACCAAAACGATTGGCGTCTTCGCTTACCAGTAACGCCCACCTTCTATGCCAAATTTGAAGATCATCCGAGATCGGGTAGAAAAACTGCGCCACCATGGTCACTGCGACCTAATTTCTCACCTTACCAGTGGACGCTTGATCATATTTTCCCTTCCCGCTCTGCTAACTCGGCGCTCGCTATATTGACTAGCGCGGACGGATAAACTTGGTATGCTCTCACATCTTGGGGAGCGGTCTGGCCCCCTACAAAACCACCACTGCCCTTGACTCATTAGTTTTGGCCTGTCACCGTCGATACATTTCCTCTTCGCCTTCTAAGGGTAACCAATTCCATATACTTGCACATCTGAGGCACATCAGCGTGTTAATAACAAACCTTTGTCTTGTGACTTATTTAACTTTACCTGCCTTTCTACGTCTTTACAGAGTATATTCCATCATACTAGATCACGGGGATACATGGTAGTTGGCGACAAACTGCCTTTCTAGTTTTTAGCTCATCTGACATAGCTCAGATGCAGCTTGTAGAATCGGCATGATCGGTCCGTGCGTTCGTCCGTCCGAGCGTCCGTCCGTCCGAGCGTCCGTCCGTCCGAGCGTCCGTAACAGTTGGGCACAAATCTTAACCGCTCGACGTACGGTCACGATATTCGGGACGTGGGCGGGTAATCAGAAAACGAGTTGATGTCGAAGCTGGGGGTCAAAGGTCAAAGGTCAAGAGGTGTAAAAGAAGGCGGGAACATTCATCCTTAACTTAAGGATAGGGAGGAAATGCCAGATATTGCGGCACAAAATCTAAAGCGGCTCGACCTAGGGCTGTGATAGTCGGGTGTATGCATCATGGTAGGAAAAGCCACATGTGCCGAAAATGGGGTCACAGGTCAAAGGTCAGTGGCACAGCGGCAGATTTTAGACATTTTCTGAGGACATGGTCTGAGCGGAGCGATTGAAAAACTTTTGTTTCAGCGGTGACCTAGCAGTCTTCTGGCTTTATTGAAAGGACCATGAAATGTCTTCTGCTGCTGACATCTGAAGAGGTTAAGGGTGGTCGAGGTATAAGCGTTGACCTCAAGAGGAGGGTTAAATCTTGGATGTGTTGACTGTCGATGTGTAGGAAGAGAATGTGTGTGACTGGGCGGTGGGTGTGCTGGTGTAAGTGAGGGGAGGGGAGTGGCGTGGGAGTAGAGCGAGGGTGCGGCGTGGGGAGTGTAGGAGGGGTGAGGGCGAAGGGGGGTGTGCAGCAGGGCGTGGGGTGAGAAGTTTGCAAGAGGCGTAAATTTGGTAAAGGGAAGGGGGTGTGGTGTTCGGCGTGTAGGAATCGTTATATTTCTATGTGCGATTGGCGTGGTGGGCGCGAGGGTGGAGTTTGACGATGGGTGAAGGCGGTATTGGCCACTTGCGCAGGTGGCTTGCTGCAAGGTGGCAGTGTGAGGTTGGTGCAGTTTGTTAGCTGCGATTAATTGGGTGTACAGGCTGCGGAGGCGCTCTCGTAGTTGCAAGTGTTGGCGTCTGTGTAGGCGTTGCGTAGGTAAATGGATGAGCTGCGTGACTAGTTAGTGCTTGACAGATAGTGGTGTGGGTGGGGGGGGCGATTACGTACGTGATGATGGCAGTTTCATGTGTTAATCTCTGGGAAGACACTGTAAGCTAGGCGCCTGCGTCGTGGGCAATTTTCATACTGATCCCACACGGGAGACAGTTCGTGGTGGAGAAGGTTCCTGGGAGTTAGCCTAGTCCCTGTGCATTCACTGTGTCGGGGGTGTATGCTGAACACATTTGGGACTAGAAGGGCTTTATAGAAGCCGCACCACTCACCACAGGTCACGCAGTAGACGTTAGATGAGCGCTGTCGCTTTGCGGCACTTGTTATGGTGGTTCGAACCGATTTTATTGTCTGAGTATTAATGTGGTTTAATCCGGTAGTAAAGTCTACAATGCATATATGTATATATATCATGCTCATGATAATTAATATGGCAGTTGGATGTTTATGCCGAATATAAGTCATGACGTACTGCAAAAAAAATATAAGTTACAGCCGAGGATAGCTTTGTGCTCATGCACTGATGCAGTCTTTGTGTGCGACGCAACGCGGGAAGAACCTACTCTCACGTCACAGGCCGTTTTCCCGCCAGGTGGCCGGTTTGGCAGAAAATTTGATTTTCAACATTTATAGACCCAACATAAAGACGTGTTTTAAATATCACAGAGGCAATTAAAAAACATACGAATGCTTTGGTTATTTACGTTTTGATACTAGCATCAAATAATTGTAAAAATTAGACAGTTTATAGATATCAATAAAGGAGGCCTTTAATATAAAACAAACCACATGTCCCTACGATGCCCCTCTGCTGAGATACTGAGCGGTGAAAATCGACTCGAGATCAGTGTGTACTGCGACTGTCTCTCGCTTTGAGATAACTTCGGGAAACCTTGCGTGTTTCCGTCATTCATTGACAAATCAGATGAATGAAAACTTGTTTGTTGCACAAGGAACTTTAGGTAGACCATACCATACATCATCATAAACTGTTTTCTTTGTGTTCATCTGCGTCGACTGCGACTACAATTTACAACTTTCCTGTATAACGTGGGAAGTCAGTGCAATGGCAGAACATTCAGTTCCACGAGCTATTCCAAAACTTGGACTACCTCATCAGAGTGCTGGACCTAGAAAGAAACTAGTACTGCGACCGAAAAAGAAATGCCTAGATTTACACCGATTAAACGAACGAAGACTCATCATGTGGTTCTCCGAAAATCACCTCGGTTAGCAGCTAAACGGCAAAAAGTTGAAATCATAGACGCGGCCATTACTCCACGACATGTTGTTATTGATTGCCATAGTGATGACCCCCACCTCAGGCTGCCTGTAGTAAATTCCGTAGTAATCATAATGACGTAATCAGTCGGCGCCACCAGCGGCTGATTTTAAATTTATTAATTCGACTAATACTGCAATATGGTTTCAGCATTTCACCGTTGTACGCTCTCCTTCTTTATACGCTCTTGACGATCTGCAGCCCGGATATCCGCGCGAAGCGCGCAAACGCCGCGCAGCGGTGACACAATGACTTATTCGCTGCCCTCTATTTAGAAAAATGTTCCCGAGGCCCTTCTGGATGTAATGTACCAGTGTACTTGCCTTGAAAAATCACTGATGTTGTTCGATTGGTTTCAGAGTATTGTGCTTCAAGAGCTGTGCCAAATGTCCCAACGTCAGAGTATCTGAATACGATAGGCAGTAAGCTGCTACCCGGTGTCGACATACTATGGACAGGTACATGGAAAACCTAAATAACCAAATCGTTTGGAAATTCAGCTATTGGTGATATTATGTAAATCTTGTTGGAAGCGTTTTCCGTGCTATGTGCACTAAAGCTCTTTGCAATTCGGAGAGTAGTTATGTTGCCATTTATATTTAGTAACTCTATTTATGGATTCGGAGTTTGTATATTTGAACTATGATAGTACTACTTTCCACGTCGGGCGTGGCTCAGTGAAAGTCTTCTTTGACTTTGACCTTGACTTTTGTTTTGATGTTGACTTCAGGTCCAAAGGTCGTATCAAGACACGTATCCGTCGAGTCGATTGAGGAGATAACAGAAGTGATGAAGAGGCCGCCTGTGATATGGGATAACGTCCACGCCAACGATTACGATCAGAAACGGTTGTTCTTAGGACCTTACGATGGAAGGCAAGCAATAGACACTATAAAATTGTAAAAAATTTTGCGTCATGACTCATGAGTCACTGCTGAGATGTACAGTGGGTGTGATGGGCTGCGATGCAATGTAAATCTACTTTGATGTTGGTGTTTTGACGAAGGTTTAAGCGTAAACTCAAGTGGATGTTTGTGTTATGAAAAATACATTGCCTTAGGTTCCATGTTCTTGGGGAAAAAGACATTTTCTTCCATTATGCTTCCTGTTTGAATGTGATGGTATGTAGCTATAGAAAGGTGTGTATATAGGTTATATACTTGGGGCCTGAGTCACTTTTGCCAGATGCGTGTATGCAGTGAGCAAACGACCGAATGTTTAGACATGTCTCAGCAGTCTAAATAGGGTAATGCTCGTAAGAGAAATGTGTTTTATTTTCACACATACACAAACCTCATTCCTTGTGAGAAAAACGTGTGTGTTTTGTTTCCACAGGTCCACAGATCTTATTCCTTGTTTGAACGGTGTGCTCACGAACCCAAACTGTGAATTTGAAATGAACTATGTTGCAATGCACACGCTAGCACAGTGGAGCCGATCAAATGGTAGCAAGAAAGAATCCGTGTTGTGTAAGTTAGCTAAAAAGTCTCTTAAGTTGTCCAAAGAACTTCAATTGACAACTCATAAACAATGACAATGTAAACAGTAAACGACAGGAATGTAAATTGTAAACAGTGTGCATATAAACATTAAATAATGAGAATGTAAACATTAACTGGTGAGGATGTAAACATCGTCGCAGTTCTGTGCCAGGGTGTGCAGTATTCTTTTCAGAGAGCAACGCTCTCAGCCTCCCCGCGATGTTGTATTCACAGAGTTGATGTTTGCACGTTGCAGTATCCTCTAGTCCCGTCTCGTCGGACATAAAGCTGGAGACGGAAGGAGACGAGAAGTCCGACGACAGCTCCTCCTCGGCCAGCAAGAGCAGCACCACCTACATTCCGCGGCGCGCGTTGCGTCAGGCGCTCAAGGACTGGCTGGAGGTGATCACGCGTCACGAGATGGCGGGCGGCGCCACGCTCCGACCCGCCATCCACATCCCGCTCGTTGGCGCGCCGCCGCCGCCGTCGTCGAGGGCGCCATCGCTGCTGCCACCCGTCGCCGCGCCCGAGCCGCTCGGCTTCGACGAGTGCGTGCTGCCGCCGACGGTTGTCACGGAGATGACGCTGCCGCTGCCCGACAACCCGCTCATCTCGTGCGTGAACACGTGCGTGACGTCGACGCCGACGACGAACACGGTTACGCGCTCTGCCCTCGAGGCCCTCGCAGGCGTCGCCGCCACGAAGCGCCCCCTGCCGGTGAGCGGAGGTGGGGCAGATCCTGCGGACACGTCCGAGCCGCCGCAGGCCGTACTGATGAACGCGGTGAACTCGCTCGCCTACGAGGACAAGATTGTCGAGAACGTCATCGAACCCATGGACTGCGCGAGCGATGGCGAGACCGCGCCGGCACCCCCTGCCGTCGGCGAGCGCTCGGACGGCGACGTGGAAATGCGCGTGCCGCCGGACGAGGCGGAGACGCCGACAACGGCGCCGGCGGCGCCCCCCAGCGGCAACGATGACGACGGTGAGCAAAACGACGACTGCCTGCTCTTGGAGGACATGGAACACGTCGTCGACATGTTCTACCTGCCATTCGAACACGGAGCCTTCGCCGTTTCCCTTCTTGAAGAATTCCACTGGTTGAAGAGCAACTCGCACCTCGTCAACGCCGCGACGGCAAGGGAAGCGGCGGTGGCGCCCTCTGCCGGCGTGCAGGAGTGGCGGGAGCGCGCGTCAGCTTTCGAGGCGAAGGCCAAGCGACTGTCGGACACGTTCACGAACCTGACGAAGATCCGGAATCGCGCGCTCGTATACGACCTATACCCTTACATGTGGGACATGAAGGGCGTCATCTCCCTGCTGCTGGGATTCGTCAAGTGGCTAGGTAGTTACTGCTGCTCCTGCGCGGGGGGCGCCGCCGTGGCGTGACGTCCGTCCCGCGTCGCGTGAAGTTTGGGAAGGCGGTAGCATTCTAGTTCGAATAAATTTATGCAGTTTTGTCTGTAGCGTGAGTTGAGGCGTGTGCGTGTGCAGTGTGCTGCCAGGTGGTTGACGTAGAAGACTCCTCGGTGATTAACTGTGGTATTTTGTTCTCGTGTTTTCTAGCGTTCGGAGCTGGCGTGAAGGAGAGCAGCCCTTACCTGATGGACAGCCTGTCCTGCTATACATGTACGATGATATGCTGGCCGTAACTTTTCTCCCGATATTTTGCAATGCTATCGCGCGTTAGTGGAGTGGTAGGTACAGAGCAGAGGGGCTGCCTTGCAGACGAACTGCCTCCAGGAGGTGCTAGTGAGGGAGGCGATAATGGTGCAGGTTCGACAGTTCCTGGTCTCTGTGTTTATCGACCGTGCGTACGTTTTGCGCCCCACGATTTTTTCGAAAGCGCGATTTCCCCGACCAACTAATGGATTTGCTTAATTCTTGTTTAGGTTTTTCATTTGGTGAGATGTGAGATTGCGGAATTTCCCGGCATCCAGTTGTTTTGAGTAGCCAGCGCCAGCTCGCGTGGGTGGCGTTTCCCGGTCTATGGCCTGACTTGGCAGATGAAGAAAAGTCGAACGCATCACTCCTCAAACCTCAAATTCTAAATTCAAATTCAAATTCAAATTCAAATTCAAATTTCTCCTAGACTTCACATTGTTCTCGCTCTTGCCTTGTGCAGTGTGATGTGCTAGGCAAGAAGCAAAGCAGGCTTAATCCTGTAGAACAAGCTTCATTGTCTGTGGAATTTACGTCTAAACGTCACAGCGTTGCGCGTAAGATTCTTGCGTTGCCACGTTGACCCCTTGGAGGGAGATGCGGCTATCAATATTAATCATTGTAATCCATTTTCCGTTCATCACGTGCACCTAGTCGTTGGACATTTTCTTGCATGCGCCTTGTATGGTGAACGCGGCGACCACGCTAGTCTGTGGCTCTTGTCTGTTTAGTGACCGTCGCACTGGGGAGACGGTCGCTAAGCGCAGTGTACCAAGAACTGTGTGCACCTAACCATGTGCGTGCGTGTGTGCGGACGTGAGAGAGAGCATGTGTGTTACTAAACGCTTGCATTTTTAAAGGTCCTGTGTTCCTTCTATCCCCATCCGACTTCCGACGTCTTCACAGCTCCCCTTGCATAATGCCGTCTCGTCATTGCTGTCCGCTTATCCGACATATCCTTGTAATTTGAGAGCGAGTACGATCGGGGTTGTGGAAAGATTCGAGGCCATTTTATTTATTCTGAAACTGAAAATGTGTCTGAAGCTCTTTCAAAGCAAATCGGGCAGTGATTGTTGGCATGTGTGCGCAGTTGATGGCCTCCCATCTTTCCTAAGCCAGACCGTACTTGGAATGCTCTGACACACAGCGTACGTAGCTGGCAGTAGCAAATGCGAAACCTGCAGGCCATGTGGGAGTGGAGTGCGAGAGAGTGGTAGGATGGGTCAGGCCTTGCTACTGCTGCCAGGCACGCTTAATCCGAGCGCAGTCGAGGGTGAAACTGCTGCGAGCGCACGCTAGATACGTCCGGCGGTTGCGCAGACGACTGACGGACGGGCATCCGTACCCCCTGCGCGCGCGCGTGCGTGTGCGAGCGTTCTAACGACTTTTCGCTTCTCATCTGCGGCGGCGACACAGGGTCTACGAACGGCTACCGGGAGGCGTTTATGAGCGGAGAGCAGGAGCCGTGGGTCTTCAGAGGTGGTCTGCAATCGGAGTTCCAAGTACGTAGAGCTTCACGGAGCAAGTACCAGAGCTCGACGCATCCATCTAGATATCTCCTTCTCGTTACTCCTTTTGTGATTTACAGGCAAAATGGAATTCATCTGGGATTAACGTTGTTTGGATTGTGCGTGTTAGTGTGCGTGTGTGCGTGTTAGTGTGCGTGATTGGTTTTATGTCGTCTTGTCTGTCGTCGTCGGTTCTGCGCGCGGAAGTGGATACGCAAAACTCGCGCGGCGAGCGTCGCAGAGAAATTGCGGGGGCTGATACATTATTGCTGCTGCGGCATTTGTTTGCGATCGCCATCTCATAGCGACACGTCACGTCAGCCAACCCCCGTGTTTCAGTGCAGCACATGAGCCTAGACAGTCTGCATTTTATAACGTGAAATTGTTTAAATTTTCGATAAATCTGATGTACTTATCAGAGTGCCAGTTTCAATAGCCCACCTGCTGTCTCTGCTGTCTGTTGTACTGAACGTTTGCTTAAACTTCGGTACAGGACGGCGAGCAGTAAAAGAATGGGTTACAGCTTGACAAAGACAGCAGGTCGGCTGCCGAATCTGTCACTCTGGTTAAAATGTTGAATTGATTTCGAATTTAAACAATTCCACGAGACCGTGTTACGGTCTAGCCGAACGATAGCCGGTTCTGTTGTGACGTGGATTGTTTGGGTTTGTGAGCGACTAGCTGGGAGCAGACGTGACGCGTTGCTACGTGAGGGCTGCGCGTGAGATCACGCACACTGTCTGAAGTGTACAGGCGTGTGTTTTACCCAGGAATTGCAGCGATGGCTGGTGCCACGAAAGCGAGAGGAAATAAACTCCTGTTGGCTTTTCCAGACAAAGAAACACGTTGGCAAGAGAGAGCTTCTTTCTGGCAGTACGCCAATACCTGCAGCCTGGGTGCGATGGCAAACCCAAGCAGTACCGAAACGCGATTTCATGTTAATCTCCCAGATTCTCGATGGGGATTGTTTGCGTAGAAGATTCAGTTGCCCGTAGCGTGCATGAGAGCGTGCGCATGCGTACTGCGTACATGTGTGCTTGCAGGTGATCATGCACGTAGGCGGGCGTAGCTGATTCCGTGGAATTCACGGTGATGACCTGAGATGCACTCGCGATGCGAGCGCGTACATTGGTTTTGCCATCTATCCAGCACTGCAGGAAATGCGTCGCACGAAAGACGTTCTCTCGCATTTGCGAAAACGCCCGCAGCGTCAGCTGCCGCACGTCCGGTGAACGCAAGCACACGTAATTGTAATAGCACTAACACTGAGTAGCAACTCATGGCAGGTGCTCAGCGTGAGAGCGCACATCGTGAGGAGTGCAGCGAATGCTAGTGTTAGCCGTGTTCTGTCACCTGGGGAGAGTTGTGCGCGGACAATCCGTGCGTGCGTGGCTGACGCTGCCAGCGGCTGCGTATGCGCGCGAGCGAGTGAATTGAAGCAAGCGCGCGAACCTCGATGCCTGCTGCACATTCCACAGACCCCCCCCCCCTAACTGTCTAACGCCAGGCTTTTGCCATACAGCTGTATAACTCCCCATGCACCATGCTGGGAAATACCTTACACACGGAACATGGGGGTGTTGTGTGCCTGCCTTTGTCTCTGACTTGCCTTGTACAACGTGATGATACTTTCTCGTCCATTCCATAAAGATACAGGTGAAAGAATGTAGTACTTGAGTATATGCATTGGTAATCTTGAGATCATGGAAGTTCGAGTTGAGGTGAATAATTGATTTCCTCACAAATTTGTTTCTCTGTGGAATGTGCAGCTGCTGCTGCTGCTGCTGGCGTTATGGGCACTGCCGCCGCTCATGTGTCAGCAAGTTTTCCTTATCCACTTTTGCAGCATTACTTGGCAACACAGTAATTAGGCCGTGTGGTGGGGGATGGAAAATGTTGAATGGTCTTAAAATGTTTAAAATGGTTGAAATGGTCTTAAAATGTTGAAGCAAATGCATGAAAACATGAGCGGACTACCACACGTCATGTTGTTCAGTCGAAATAATGGGACCATCTGATCGATTCTGCAAAGGTCATCTGATTGAAACAGTGTGCTTGTACAATTTAAAAAAATCTGAATTTGAAGTGACCAGAAATTCCTTTCTGCACGAATTTCCATGTTAACATTTCGGTTTTTGGCAGCAGCACTCAAACACATACCAGAATTCATCAGGTGGTTAATAATTCAGACTTTTCAGTCCAAAATGGAAGTGCTAGAATAGGTAGGTATCGTAGTTTGCATGTAGGAAAATTATTGCATGACGAAACGTGATGCATTTGAGCACGCAGGCATGAATTGGTTAAACCTGTAAACCGACATAATTACGGCACTTAGTAGAGAAGGCTGTGACAGCGTGAGCTTCTATAGGCGATGTCCGGGCGCGATTTCATGTTCGTACTTTTAAGACGTTTCTTCGTGTTTTAGCGCATGTTGCCAATAGAGGGCGCCAACGACTTGTTCACCCAGGCGCCGCCAACAACAATAGACTGCCGCGTTTTCACCATCCGCCCATATCTGTCCTCGGATGAGGTACAGTATGAACACAATAGTGTAAACAAGTATAGTGCTGTAATCTTGTTTTATTATACATATGATTTGTAGGCCAGCCATAAATGTAGCGATTTGCCAGCAGAAGTAGGAAAATTTATGGGAAATAAAACTCGGTCGTTATATCGTTGCCTTACTCTTTCTCTTGATCACTAGTTCTAGGGTAGTTGAAAGCAACCATGAGATGTGTTGCGATACGTGAATCGATTAATCTGATTTGAGTCTGGTTGCCTTACAGGACATTGTCTATGACATCTGTGTGAAGACTTGCGATGATGGTCTGGATGGCAGCGAGATGTTTCTAGATGCTCCGCGACTGATAGGAGACAAGTAAGTAACAGCTGGTGACAAATTGGCATGCCAGAGACTTCATATGCTCCCTCCTAGTGTGGGTGTGCATGTGCGAGTGTGTATATACATGTGTGTATATATATGTAATATTTATGTATGTATCTATATTTCTGTGCATGTACACTACACATTGTATTTTGATGTTTACTATTATTTGATACCGACTTTACACTCTGGTGTTTCGTATTCAGATTCGATAAATAGCCTGCCTAGAATTTTCTGACGGTTTCCCTAACTACCGTGGCGAAATTTCTGATCAAACAAAGGCAACACTTTACTTGACCCTAAAATTGATCTGTTACGGCCTTATGTCCCACCGGGGGACCAAGAGGATAAGTAGTAGTAAAATTTATCCGACTGCAGCGCGTAACCAGTCGGTCGTTCTTCCGCAGATTCGTCGGCGGCATGGTGACCCTGAGTCCGGAATATTCGTTTGTTGTCGACGACGATGAGGGGCCGTGCGGGTACATGCTCGCCGTGCTGGACTCGAAGGAATACTTCGCAAAGTACGAGGCCGTCTGGATACCGGAGATGCGTGCCAAATATCCGGCACCGAACAAAACCGACGGAACGTCATTGACGCCGTCGGAGGTACGTGTGTGTGTGCTTGCAAGCACGTTGGGTGTGTGTCTCGTCTTCGCATACAAGTGTGTGTGTGTGTGCGTGCGTGCGCGTGCGTGTGTGTGCTGGTGTGTGTTTGTGTGCGTGCATGCATGCGTGCGTGCGTGCGTGCGTGCGTTGGTGTGTGTGTGTGCGCGCGCGCGCTTCCAGCCATCATTTCTCTCGGTGCTGCATTACAGATCATACTGATGCGTACGTGGATTTGCTCTGACTGCTATTAGGTTGGAGGTGATATTACATTGTCTGTTACATTACAGGAGATAATCATGAGCTTCTACAACTATAAGAGGTACCTGCCCTCGAACCTCTACAACAGTTTCCCCTCGATCGTGCGCATGAGTCTGCTACCTCGTGTCAGTGACGTCAGTCTACCCAAACGCATGATGGCCTGTGTACTGTCCGCTGTCAAGGCTAATGGTAAGCGCTTTTAGGGGGAAACTCCGAGCCATCGGGATCTATGATAATTTCTCCTGGGAAAATCCTCCCAACAATAAGATTCCCAAGGGAAACATTCTCCCATCATGGGGGTCTGTGATAAGAACTGAGCTTCGGCCATCAAGGCAAATGTTGGTCCTTCTTTAACTTTGTCTTTAACTTAAATTTTTTGTCTTTGGATTTAAGATAATTCTGGATTCTGGATGGTTTACTTGCAGATACTTTCAAATTTTACCGTTTTTAGTACCGTTAGTTTCATGTGAAAATAGTGCACGATAATAAATAATTTTGCATCAAGAAAATTTTGAAAATCGTTTCAGCTTACTTGTTTCAAGCCAATACGTGCCTGACATTGCATGTTTCAGGGTCTAAGGGTGCTTACTGTGAGGTGAGCATAGGAGACAAGCATGTCATGAACATGTACACGGGACTCGGATTCTTCCAAGTCACTATGCTGGACGAATATTCAGACGAAGTCATTGCCCTGGGCAGACCATTGTAAGGAAGGGCATGGGGCCAGGCACTTCTGTAAGAGAGTAGCAAACCCGCTGTAGGTGCAGGGCATATCGCTGTATGGGCAGGGGCGAGGACTCACCCTTTCACAGGGCAGGAGAGACCCCTGTAAGGGTGGCGCAAACTGCTTTAGTGACAGGGAGCGGGAGATTGCTATAGCGACCTGGGGACATTATCGTAGCATTTTCGTTTATTCACGTTGCAGGCGTTGGCATGGGAGTAGTGTGCCCTATTTCATTACAGTAATGCGCAGTAAATGCTACTGCTTTTTCGAAAGACTTCCAAAAGTGTCTGTACATAACCAACCTGCTACGAGCAAAGTAATCTAGTGTCTAGCATTAAGTTCGAGTTATTGATGAGTCTGTGAGATGTGGAAGGAACACTCGGATAATGTTGCGTGCACGATGCAGTGTGTGGTGGCGAAGCGTGCGCATACCCACCCACCTGCGCTACCAAGCTTCTGGCTACTGCAGTCCCACGTTTAGTCGATATATATGATCGAGGTTCCTCGGAGGTTGCGAGAAACGCAGGAACAGAAAAAAAGCATCGGTGTTACTATAGTGTTGTTCACTGTCATATCGCTCGTAAACTGTCGGTCCAGCTGCCCGCGGTGCAATCGTTGGGAGCTTATATGTACATTATATGCTGGAATCCAGCCGTGGCATGTATGTTCATTCACTCATGAATGTCTACAGATGATGTGTTGCTCCGACGTTGCATAGAGCTGCACGTGCGCACGTTGCTGTGGGAGGAGCGCTCCATAAAAACAAGCAGCGCATTTCGTTAACCGGAATAAAGGGAAAGGGAAATTATGCTATTACTATGCCTCGTTTATATGTGTACGTATCACTTAATGGCTGACGATCGAGTAATAATGGTATTGAACTCGGCTTTACCTTGTGTGTGTGTGTGTGTGAATATATATACATATATATATATATATATATATTTATATATATATGCATATGTATACATATACATACATTAATTGACTATATATACATAATGCATTGTGCAGTAAATTGGAAAATGAATAATGAATGTTGCAGAAGAAAGTTGAATTATTGCTTATATCTTTGTTGTAGTTCATATTGACACCGACCATATACAGATATAGTACAATTACAGCATATCCAGATAGCAGAATTTAATTCAACAATAAAATAAACCATATTCGGTCTGTATGGCAAATAGAGGCAAGCAGGAGGTGATAAGAGCTGATGGTTAGAAGTGTAGCGGGAGCAGGCTTTGAATTAAGCGACGAGAGGGGCAAGGCAATTTTTTAGGGGCATGTGAGAAATCGCCTTGAATTTTCTCTAAAATGGATGGGCACCGAGGCAATTTTAAAAGGCATCAAGGCAACTCTCACAATTTGAGAAGGGCACCAAGGCACTTTTTGTAAAATAAAGGAAAACTCATAACAAATTAATACATCAACATCGTCTTGCTTTTAATGTACAAAATAGTAGGCCCAGTTTAACATAATTTTCAATAATATTTGCATAGATCTAGACTTTAAAATAATGTGTTGTCAGCATGTTTTGTCAGTAACAAGGTTCAACATTAACTTTTTATTTCACTAGACCATCGGGCTAGTAACCGAGGAAAACCACTAGCCCTGACATAACTTTCACTAGCCCAGACCCAGACCCAGACCATTGTTATGGAAAACTTTGTGTCATCGTATGAATTCTACTAAAATTTCTCTAAATTTACTGCACTAATTACTGCACTACTTACCAAGCTACACACCGTACAGATCACAGCTGGCCATTATTGCGCGAGCGTCGTTTCCTGCGCTTTAAATCGCGCGCGGGCCGAGTCCATGTGCAGAATTTAAATATTTGTGTTCTACCACGGGCATAAACAGGCGCAGTGGCGCACGATTTATCGATCGTCTACTGGCAGCGGTTGGCAGCATGCCACGTTATTGGTTTTGCTGAAGGGTAGACTGGTATCCGGCCTCACGCTCTGCTAGACAATGTACACGCTCTGCGACAAACAGTGCGGCCGCGAACCAGTCTAGCCAGAGGCAGAGGCACCGACGGCAATTACAGAAAAGGGCAAGGCAGGTCACTGCCGTCGGGCGGGTTGGATTTTCAGGGGCAGTACAGCGATTGATAGGGGCACCGAATTGCCGTCGGTGCCGTCGGTTAATTCGAGCCCTGAGCGGGAGGGATGGTGAAGGAGAAGCATGGTGAAGACCGGCTATAACTATAGCATAAACGTTGCTAGCTGGCGGCACTGACTTCTGTCGTATCCATGGCAACCTGCATCCTCTTTCCGAACAACGAACTGTACAGTTCGTTGCGCGACGCGTCCGTGACGCGACACATGTCGAGGGGAGCCATGAAGTTGACGAGCTTCGAGTGTATGTCGTAGCGTACCTTCCTTCCCTTGCTCGCCTTCGTGTCGACTTTCTTTTTCACCTACAGAGAGCAAATGTGAGTCGGATTAACATGTGTGAGGTGCAATTCTTACTTCACAGCCAACATGGATCGTCCTGATCCAGTTAGTTATGTCAACTTATTTCAACGGTTCCATAGTTCCGTGTTAACACCCGACCAGCCAACAGCGATGGTGACAGACGTGATGCCAACAAGCCACGGCGTGTAAACCATGTAAAACGCTCAAGCCGGGTCAGTGTAAACCTCGCGTAGACCGTGGTAGAACCTCTGCGGCGCAAGCAGCATTGGCACCACCCCTCGCGCGCGTGTGAACAGCGGCGACGCCCGAGTAGCAGTGGCACCCCCCCACCTCGCGCGCGTGTGAACCGCAGCGGCCACCGAACAGCAGTGGCACCCCCCATCGCGCGCGTGTGAACCGCGGTGACGGCCGAGCAGTAGTGGCACCACCCCTCGCGCGCGTGTGAACCGCGATGACGCCCGAGCAGCAGTGGCACCCCCCCTCGCGCGCGTGTGAACCGCGGTGACGCCCGAGCAGTAGTGGCACCACCCCTCGCGCGTGACGCACCTTGCTGCGCAGCTTCTGGATCTGCAGCCACTGGCGGCTGAGCGCGACGGGGTCGGTGACGTCGGCCGTCTTGCGCTCGATCAGCTCGCGCAGCAGCTGGTGATAGAAGTCGTCGTCGTCGAAGATCTCCGCATCGTACTCCTTCAGGTGCGCGTCCCTGCATGCTGCAACCACCCGCTCTCCCTCCTCGCCTCTCGCTGCAGCCTCCTCCGCGTCCTCTTGCTCTGCCTCTCCGCCGCTAGCCGCTGAGTCTGCCTTGCCGATCACTCTGTAAAATGAAGGCGCGAGTCGGATAGATGCGGCTGGTCACGTCGGTTTGCATTGAGTGTTTCATGTTGGTTCAATGTGGGAATGTTGTGCTCGACTCTATTATATTAGGATACAAACGGTGAGATGCAACACGCGGGGGGTACGAGGATCATTGTCTGCTCACAACTTGGCAGAGACAATCGCGAGACGACGGTGTGTGATCTGATGCATTACCAGTACAACAATACTTACCTGTATGCAAATCATTCCGCATATGACGATCGTTACCCATATGACGATCTTCACCTATACAAGTCATTACCTGTACGATGATTGTTACCTGTATGCAAATCATTACATGTACACCGATCGATCGTTACCTGTATGAGGATCGTTTCAGCTGTGTGCGCTTCACCAGCCGATCTTTGTCCGCCAGTATCAGCTGCACCTGCGTCAGCACGGACTGATCAAATGCTCCGAATGATTTGCCGGCCTTGCCAGACGTCAGCTTCGTCTTATCATTCCATTTCTGTATTGTCGCATTCCTGTAGGCAGAGGCAGAGAGAGAGGTTAAATGCACAGTGGTGTCACTTCAACAACTACCTAATAAGAAATCTCACACACATGAATGCATGCATGTACATTCACACACAAATACACACATGCATGTGCACACACACGCACGCACGCACGCACACATACAGGGACACACAAGCACACATAAATATATACACGTGCAGGGTTCTCCAAGCTTTTTCATTATAGCATGGCGGGTGCTGCCTTTACGGTCCTAGACGATCTGCAGCCGGATATACGCGCGAAGCGCGAACAGCAACAGCCTTTTGATCGAATTCGCTGCCCTCTATTTAGAAACATCTTCCCGAGACCCTCTGGGTATAACAGAAAGCCGCATAATCGGTCAATTGAGGAGTTGTGGCGATTGCAGAAGCCTTTCGACTCTGCACGTAGGGCGAGAATAAATCCAAATGCTCGTTTTTGTTGGTGTGTGGCTCGGCGCGCGTCCTTTTCGTGCTAGAAAAATAATTTACCCTTTTCGCTGGTTCATGCCCTGACATTAATTTGGAAGTTATCGCGACCATAGATGGCGCAACGAGTTATCTACGTACCATTTTCAAGTTTAAAAAAAAAAAAACGCTCGGCTCCGATGACCTAGACTGCCGCGCGGTGCACATGCAGGTCTCTGGTTCGACACGCTAGCGTAACTCACTTCAGTGTATCAACCGATAGTTGGCTGAGTGAAGGTGCGGTAGCCGTCTAGCCTGCAAATCGTCATTACCGCTCCGACTTCCGTATCCATCTTAACGCACCCAATGTAGATTTCTGATGTTCTGCCATTATGATTATCACGTATGTTATCTGGATTCTGGAAAAGCCTCCGCCTTCGTGGCGTCAGCGCGTGGCGTGGCGTCCGTGGCGCGAGGAATTTCGTCAGTCTCTGTGTGATTTCGCGTGACACAGTTCTGTACGAAACAGACATTATGTTTTCATAGAAGTCAAGTTAGTCAACACTGTTCTTCAAATAGAAACAAAGATCAGAAGCTGTTGGATGAGTTATTTGTTTGAAATCATTTTTGAGCAGCGTACGTACAGCATTTTGCATATATTTCATCGTCCAGCGTGCTGCTTATAGCCAAAAACTTCGTCTACCCCTGCGGTCGAGGGGGGGGGGCCCTGATTGCTCTTGTGCAGAAAAACTTCGCAGAAAAAACTTGGAACTCGCCTGCTCGCACTTCACCATTGACGGTGCAACCCCTATATATACCAGCTGCCAGCTCCATCCATAGCTCCCTACACCACACAACGTCAATACACCCTAGTATTCTAACCCTAGCAATACCGCTTTCTTGAGCTAGTCGAATCTATGATCTTGCAGTGGCAGCCTTGATCTTGCAGTGCAGACTTGCAGTCATACACTGATATGTACAGTATTGTCGGGTTATTTACATTACTATCAATATCATAGTGACGGGAAGTTGTACTTGCCAAGTAGTTGTAGGTGTACGGCACTTGCTGTATACTGATCCATAGACTGATATAGCTAAGGCTAGCTAACTAGTAAGTGTACTGGGACCGTAATTAACCCACTATTACAACTATTCATAAGCGGCCTCATGTAATACAGAAATGAATAAACCCTGAGGCTGAGTGTTCCAATAATTTAATATACAGGTTATTTTTACTGCCTATAGCCTAGAGTCCTAACAATATAATACGATGTATTGGCGATGTATGTGTTTGTGCCGTTTATGCATGTATTGCTACGTGTTCTCGGCTTAGCTTAGTCACCGATGGGTAACGAGGGGAGGCGAGTCCCAGTCTATATAGCCTTTGTCCTTGCAGCCATTCCATACTGGGCAAGATTCGGCGAACGCGAAGAATTTCGTCAGTCTTTCTGTGATTTTCCGTCACAGCTCGGTTACGAAGAGAGAAATTAATGTTTAGAAAACAAGTCAACACTGTTCACGTCCCAAATGTCTTACCCTCCTGTGTCCCCCACTAAATTGCGGACTGTTCGCTTGGCAGCTATGGATCGTCGCGGCCGGCCAATTCATTCGGCGGCACGGATCCATAGCTGCCAGCGCCCTGCCATACTGTCGTAGGACGGTTCCCGCGGTCCGCGTGCGCCTTGCCGCGGAATGTCGCGCGCAAGATCTGCGCTTATAGCGCTTGGGATCAACACCTCCTTTCGGCAACGCTGTCTCTAGTATCCGCGTCTCATCTGGTTGCAAATCGCCGAAGGTGGTTTGCGTGCAAGGGGGTCCGCGGGCTATGAATTTAGCATGGCGGCTAATGATATTTAGAGTGGGCGGGTGCCATTTTAGGATGGCGGGGCTCGACGATAGCCTGGCGGGCCGCCAGGCTATAAGTGCTCTTGAGAACCCTGACGTGCACATACACACACACAGTCGACACCACACATACAAGCATACACGCACGCTCTCTTGTATATACACATGCGCACGCACGCATTCATGTTTGCACACTAGTAATACATAACAAGAGCCGCAGAGCGTCTGGGCTCATCATAGGTCTGTTGCTACGGTTATAAACGTAAAATTTAAGTCGTGACTAGTGACCCTTTGTTAGGCGCAGATATGCAGATACGCAGTTGCGTACACATCATTTTCAGCAACCTCTGCATTCTGCAATCACCTCCAAATCCCATGGTTGATACAAATCGCGTGCCTGATAGCTCCTGTTTTATGGTGCATTGTGACCCTAACCCTAACCCTATTAAAAAAATATTTAATTGTTGTAAAATTATTTGTTGTTATGAAATTGTTTGTAAATAAATCATGTAAAATTTTGCGTTAATTGAAAAGATAGAAAAATACAGAAACAAGTAAATAATAAAAAAATCTGATGGGATTCCGATCCAAGAACCTTTGAGCTGTAATCCTGTGCTGTAGCCGTGGGCTATCCAGCTCTATTGGCTTTTCCAGATATGGATGTGGCCATAACAGTTGATGAAACACTGTGACATCATTGAGGCAGTTCAGGAATCCATGTTTAACCCTCCTCTTGAGAGTCAAAAGGTTATCAGACACTTACTCTTCGCACGTCAGTGGAAAGCACATTTCATGGTCCTTTCAATAAAGTGATAAAAATGGTAGGTCAGTGCTGAAACAATAAAAAAGTTTTTCACTCTGTCCGTTAGGCCACGTCCTCAGAAAATGTCTGATATCTAACCTTTTCCCCACTGCCCTTTGACCTGTGACCTCCAATTTCGCACTGGTGATGGGTTTCCTCCCCATCACACTATACACCGAATATTAAGAGTCAAGGTCAAGCCGTTCAGATTTGTGCCGCAATTCCGTATTTCCTCCTATACCTTAAGTTAAGGGGGAATTATTCCCCCTCCGTTTACACATCTTGACCTCTGACCCTTGACCCCCAAATTAATCATCCCAAGTCCTTTTCACGATCCCCCCCCCCACGTCCTGAATATCGTGACCGTACGTCGAGCGGTTAAGATTTGGGCCCAACTGTTGACGGACGCACGGACGGACGGCCGGACAGACAATCATGCGATTCTACAAGCTGCATCTGACTACGTCAGATGAGCTAACAACTACAAAACTACCTGTAAGGTATGAAGTCCTTGTGCCGTTTCTCGAGGAAGTCTGGGTACTCATCCATAGATATCTTTCTCTTCAGCGTTGGTTTCTTGCTCATCCCGACACTAACAACCTCATCTTCACTCGTTATCTCCTCATCACTGTCATGGCTGTGCACAAGAGTGTACAATTTACATATATTCTCGACGAGGAAACCACGCTCTACTTGTATATTGTTGCCAGATTGGTCAAGCAAGATCAGTCTGTACGTATTTTCCACTCACGTATGCCCGAATTTCAGCTTTACGGAACTTCCTTGCCATACTGCCATAGGAAAGATTTTTATAATGCCCCTATCACAATGCTAATTAGCTAGAGCTATACCTGTCAATCACTCTATATGCATATAGAACTAGTCAATAAGAAAACGATTCGCTGTAAAAGCTCAAATTGAACCAACACAATGACGACAACGTGGCCAGCAGCATATTCTGCACATACCATAGTGTAGACCGCAACAGCGCATAAATTGCACTAATTTATGGCAATTACCACTTAACGAGAGCTGAAAGATCAGACTATAGATGTAAACTTACGACGCTGCTCTCGGCGCCTCCTCCGATCGGTTGCCGTCGGCGACGTGACGTGTCTCAGGATGCTGACGCAGCAGCAGCGTCTGCAGGTTAACGAGTTCATCAAGCAGCAGCTTCAGACTCGCCTGTGCCGTCTCCAGCTTCTGCTGCGTCTCAGCACTCACCGAGCCTGCAGACGAATATAGAAATAATATCAGGAGTGAACAACAATAGATTATTATCTCTATTATTAAATTATATTATTTTATTCTTATATTATTCACTCCTGATAATATCTATCAACGTGAACACGCGAAATCTTTACAAACACAAAGTGATGCATCCATGCTGCATCAACCACATCTATAGTTTTACTACAGACTACAGACTTGATGGTACTGAACAGAACTCCACAGAACGGACACGTATCTATAACAATGTATAAAAGACGCTATTGACGTTTCCGTTGAATAATACTCACATACAAGTTTTGCTGTAAAAGCACCACCTAAACACGCAGCGCGCATCTCTAAACACAACGATACAACGAAATTGAATGGCATCGAATACCGGTAAACTCGCTCCAGGTTTCGTGCTGCGGAAGCTGGTTGGCCGACAGCAACAGCTTCTGCATGCGTATGCGTCCCTCCAGCAGGCTGTCCCAGGTCTTCAGCTGCAGCTTGGTGTGCGCCCCTCGCTGTACCTCGTCGTCGATACTCGCACGCGTGAAGTGTCTCACTGCGCTGTCGACGGATCCCGTCCCCAACTCGAGGAGACAAGACGAGACGACGTACATTAGAGAAAGCAAATTCGAACTGGGAGGATCTCACGCGACTGCTTCGGCATGTGATTGGCCGCCTATGTTGTAATTGTGTAGTTGGCGATGTGCATAACAAGAATATGGGCACAGTTGCTTGAGTGGCTGCTTAGCCAGTTTAATACAACGAGCTTCGCTGCACAAAGAGGACGATGCATGCGTGTCAACAATAGAACATAATTGTATAACTGTGACCAGGGGGAAAATTTATGGGAAACTTTTTTTTTCACGGGAGCTCTTTTTCAAGTCTGTTGAAAAATAGCTCTCGTCGAAAATTTTACGGGAGCGATTTTGGAGGTTTGAAGAGCGAATCGCTCATCGCTCCCGTGTATTTTTTACCCTGACCACGACATATGCCTTAATCAGACATTATATATATACAACATGCACATTAGTAGAAGCACAGGTTGAAGTGGGAGGATTCCGAGTAAATAATTAAGCGTGCGTGGACATGTACGTGCGTGCGTGTCTGCCGTCAGCCTTAAACAAATGTGCTTGCTAAAGACAAATGTTGCTACCACTGAAGATGTTGATGACACTATAACTAATGATACCTTTCCCCCAATGCTCTTGTGAATGTCTTCATCTCCTTTGTGAGTGCCATCTTCCACCACCTCCTCCTCCTCCTCCTCCTCCTCCTCATCATCATCATCATCATCCTCCTCCTCCTCCCCACTCGACCCATTGGCGTATTTGCTGTAGTCTCCATTATCCACGAAACTGAAATACCCAATGTTACTTTATGAGAAGACATGAGACAGTAAAATATATTAACTCTGCAAAACTGTGACAAACGCAGGATACACATGCAAACTACATAACTCCATCATATGCATCTAGATGAATTATGACCAAATGCAGCAGTACGAATCCAAGGGTTTAACAACCTGAATTGCTTTTGTTGTGTCATTTCATCATTTTCATCCTCTTCCTCGGATTGACTGCCTTCCTCCTCCTGCTCCTCTGCTTCTTCTGCCTCCTCCTCTCCATCATCATCATCATCATCATCATCCATCTCATCTTCATCAGTGGTACCTATAATTATTTCATATGACATATAATAGCAGGCAAAAAAATAATTTATTTTCTTTTGTTTTTTGATTAAATTATGTTACTATTAAAGTGATATTGCTTTTAATCAGTAGAGTATCGATACATGTATTGTAAATGGTCAAACGTATCAACAATTGTATCATCAAGGTTTGTATCCCGATACATATATAGATGAATCACCTTACCCCTAATACTTACCCGACTCAAATTCACCGTCTGCACCACTAGGTCGCGCCAACTCAACATCGCCAATCTTGAGTTGTTTTCGTGAGACAGTTTTCCCAGAGTAACGTCTGTCGCTCTCCGACAAGAGGGCAGCAGTCTTACGCCGAAGTTTACTACCGCCAACATGGACGTACGAGTCGTCTGCCTCGACACGTTTTCGAGTAAGGACTTTTGCTGACGTTTCCTCGGCAATGTCATCTTCAGGATCGTGAAACTCAGGTGACGGGTTGGTAAGCTCTGCTATCTTTTCCGCTAGCGATGCCATGATGTGGAATTCTATGAAACAATCGGGAAATTTCCATAATCACTGATTATTTTACTATAATACTCATCACAAATAAATGATTTATTATTAAATTTAATGATTTTAATGCATACATAAACAATTTCAACATGTATAACGGTGACTATAACCAGCAATCATTGAATCATTAGGCCTACACCATACACAATACATGTAGGTAGTGTTAGCTAGAATTAGTCACACAGCCTGGTCACGCTACTACTGCCTGGTAGGCCTAGCAGTATTACTACTAGTAGTAGTACTGCATCCCGGGGGGCGGGGTAACTATATATGCCGTTATTACCCCATGTGCATTCCAAATTTTGCAAGTTAAGGGGGTGTTTTTCAACTTCTAAAGCGGGCCCGCACGGGAGCAAATAGGCCCCCCTTTACAAAGCCAATCCCTCAATAAGCCCTCGGGATCGTTCAAGTCAAGCACCGCGCCCACAGTAGGCCCCCCCTCAGCTGTGACAAATAAATTCTCATGTGATAACTAATCTCTCTCTTTTCCTTCTGTTCTTCTTGATTTGAGATTTGACACTCTCTGTTTACAGCAACAAGAGTTGCAAGTAGTCTTCTTTGCGTCCTAAATATTCCCTCCACTCTTTGCCCTCCACTTGTTTGCAAGACCTCGCAGCGCAAATCCCCTTTAGGCACCTTAGGTATCACGAAGTGATGCACAGATTTCTGTGTATCATCAACCGATGCACAGACTTTCCGTATATCAAGAAATGATGCAAAAACCCTAACCATAACCTTAACCCTCAGCCATAAAGTATAACCTTTTTAGGTATCATGAATTGTGTGTTAGGGTGGTTAGGGTTGGGGTTAGGGTTAGGGTTTTTTCATCATTCCTTCATATACGGAAATTAAGTCTGTGCATCAGTTGATGATGCACAGAAATCTGTGCATCACTTCGTGATACCTAAGGTGCCTAAAGTGGATTTCCACCGACCTCGCAATAGGGGGTAGGACCCCGGGTATGACTCTTTCATTGTGTATGCAAACGGGGGTGGGATATTTTCATTGTGTATGCAATAGGGGGTGGTATTCTCCAACTGTGTCTGCAATAGGGGGTAGGGTTTTCCAATGTGCAGTTCGCACTAGGGGGCCTATTATTTTTAGTGATATATGAAAATTCACATGGGGTAATCACCGTACGCCGTACGGGTAATGTTCCAGGCTCAAGGGGTCGTTGTCGTAACAGGTACTACAGATATGTACCCAAGGTACATATATGTACATACACAAAGTGTACCAGACTTGTACTACAGAAGTGTACCCTAACCCTAACACTAACCCTAACCCTAAACCTAACTCTAACCCTAAACCTAACCCTAAACATACCTCATATAAAAATATAAACATAATACTAAACAACCTAAAACTACCTCGGGTACATATCTGTAGTACCTGTTACGACAACGACACTTCGTGCTCTAATAGAGTGACACCCCCCCCCCCCCCGGGTACTGCATGTACGTATTACACGCACGCACGACTATCGTAATGTCTTTAGGGAATTCCAGAACACACTTGGGAAAGAAGTTCACACTGTACCACACATAATAAGACTGGTTTAATTTGTTATGCATAATAATATGTAACAAAGTTTTCTCTCACATATGCTCTCACCTCACGCGTTTCCCATTCGCTTCACATGCGAAAGGCGCTTCGGTCGCACGCCGCCGGGAATAAAAGAGCATCCGATGGCTATGTCTTGTTTATAATTTCCCGTTCACTTCTTGTCGTTGTGTCGATTCTACCATATCATATGATTCTACGATACATATTTACTCATCTTATTTGTCATAATAACAGCACGCGCTCTTTCGCGTCATACAATGTCTGTGAATTATGCCGAAGGTTTATCATCATACGAAAATAAAGGAGTTTGTGGATTACCCGAGGTAACTTTATAATCATCCTCACCTCATTCATCATCATGTAATTACTAATCTAATGACGTAATGTAATGACTTTTGTCTTTGAGTAATGTAATGTGACATTGGCAGTGTGGTTCACTGGCAGCGAGCCCCTCCCCCATCAGTCATCACCTCACGGCATAGCATATATATATATATATATATATATATAATTTATTATTATTACTAATTTACTATTAATATTACTATTACTATTATTACTATTAATATTAATACTAATAGTACTATACCTAGCTAAATCTAATCATATATAACCTAATATAATATTAACATATTATATATTATCCACGGGTTAGGATTCATAGGGACAGAGCGTGTGACATCAATAAGCAACGAGGCAAATTCACGTAGTGCCCTTTACAATAGATCCCCATCTCATACCTACAGATCTTTACATACGCGTAAAATGCATCACCAACTGGTTCGGATGCTCTAAATCGGTTTTTACACAGTTACAGATGGTGCACCTAAGCACCTCGTGCGAAATATCGTTTGTCCTCCGTTTACAAATAGCAATCCCGGACAAGATATACAGACGTTGAAAACGTACGACACGATTATCCATTCTTTGGCCATCAATCCAAGCCTATTGCCCGCCTCTATTCAAACAAAAGGCAGCTACTAACGCGCTATTGCTAACTCGGCGGGCAATGTGGCTCGCTGGGAGATTTGAGCCCGATCAGCTGCTGCTGATTGCGGTAGGCGTGCGTGCGTGGGGGCATGCCAGGTATGTCACTATGTGCAGTGGGGGCTGCTGTACGCCGGTATGTAGCTGTGTTCCGGGTCAAAGGTTATTTTGCCGAGTGTTGATGCCTAATCTCCCAGCGAGCCAGATGCCTCGCCGAGTTAGCAATAGCGCGTTAGTAGCTGCCTTTTGTTTGAATAGAGGCGGACAATAGGCTTGGATTGATGGCCAAAGAATGGATAATCGTGTCGTACGTTTTAGTCTGTATCTCCGGATTGCTTGTGTAAACGAGGAAACGATTTCGCACGATTGTGGAATGCTAGATGCTTAAACAATAGTATTAGTACCGGTATTACTATTACTATTAGTAACTCATTACTCGTGGGCTCTTTGATAGAACTTTGACAAACCAGACGAGATTTCTGCAAAGGTCGAGGAACTTGCAGAGCTCATTCGCGCCGCTAAGCATGTGGTTGTACACACTGGAGCTGGGATCAGCACAGCTGCAGGAATACCAGACTTTCGGTAATATTCTCTTGTGAAATCTTGTAAGTTATCATCCGAATTTCGATAGTCACTTGCGCATTTCTGCTGCAGGTATAATAATTTGTGCATGAAAAAACGTTTTGTAGACTTCCAGTAATCAGTATATTGCATTTCAGAGGACCGAATGGTGTGTGGACGTTGGAGCAGAGAGGAGAGAAGCCAGACGTGAATATCACGTTTGACAGTGCGCGGCCAACGCTCACGCACATGGCGTTGGTAGCATTGGAGGAGGCTGGATTCGTGCATTATGTCGTTAGTCAGAACGTCGACGGCTTACACGTGCGCTCCGGCTTCCCCCGCGATCGCTTGTCTGAACTACATGGCAATATGTACAAGGAACAGTGCAAGCAGTGCGGAAAGTAAGTTGCCTCCTTTGCCACAATGTCAGTCGTACTGATAGCATGTAGGGGACATTCCTCCAGTTCACTCTCCTGTCCTTTTTGTTGCGGGATCCATAGGCTCAACACGGGATCGTGCAAGCGTTATATCGATTATCGAGCTTAAAGGGACAGTAGCCTCTAGGATTTTACTGCATACAACTGTACTTACTGTATAACAAATCGTCTATATACTCCACACGCATTTGTTACCAGATACCTAATTTAATTGTTATAATTAATTACACATCAACACTACGAAATTTGAACGCCGCCATGACACCCGCGACCGTGCTGCCACCCCGAAAAAGTTGCGTATCTGACAATTTATTTTGCACGTTACAGACCGAGGGCTAATCACAAAGGTGCAATTATACTTATACCTAAATGCTTTGAGTGGCGCCACCGTCGTTGCAATCAAACTGAAGTCGTTAGTTTTAAAACATTAAAAAAAAAATTTTCTAATGGTGATTGAACCATGAAACTTTTTATGTAGCGTAATTATAACCTAAATTAGCTGAAAATAACCCTAGAACCTAGAGTAAACTCTCCCTTTAAACGGGGCCTGCGTATTCCTGATTAGAAAAGGCTGTGCGAATACAATTCATGCTGTACGTGTCTACAGCGGGGTTTCTTTACAGTGTTGCATCTGAAATTTGATTGCAGTGATTTACTAGTAATTGACCTCTGCCTGGAGTGATCGACAGGTAGTTCTAGCCAATAAGTGTTGCAATGAGGACGTTCTGATAACTGTTTTGTAGTGAAGTGCCACGAGGTCGACAGTTTGGCATGCACGCATGAAAAACTCATCGTGTGGGCACGACGAGATGTATACGTTAATTATCAGTATGCTCGTTAAGAATATAGCGTCCATTAACGAGGGTGTGTTTCTGCTGCAGTGAGTACGTTCGAGATACCGCCGTTCCTACGCTAGGGTTAAAGCTTACGGGGAACAACTGTGTCACTAAGAAAAAGAATGGTCGGAACTGCAGGTAAGAATTGGCTCAGTATGGTGATTTTGATCATGAGGTTCCAGTCCTTGCCAAAAGACAAAATCCTTTACTGGACATTCGGTCCAGTAAAAAATAGATTTTTACCAGACCGAATGATATGTTACTGGACCAAAAAAATATTGAAACATTAAAACACATTCACATCTCTGTTGCTTTTCCTTTGTGGACATATCTAACATATATGCTTTCTTGCTCATCACCAGCTATGTCTGTTGACCCGTCCATGATAAAGCTAAAAAAGCTAGCATCGTTTATTTTTTCATCCATTTCGTGACGCGTACAATCAGCAATGCATTCGATAAACTTAAGGCCAGCTTTGTCATTAATGTAGGTTTCGCCTATTTCTAGGCCTTTGGCCTTGTCCAGTTGTGTGATCCAGGTATAATCAGTCAACGGTCTGCTCCGTTTAGCAGTGGCATAAGCATTTCTGAATAAATAACCTAGTTTCTGCCGGTCAGCTGCCTTGATTGCTTGCAGAGCTCGGCCAGCCCTTGACATAGCAATATGATGTTGGCTGCTTGTAGCTGCCTTCCTTAATTCCATAGCTTTCACATGATATTTACTCTGCTCATGTTCAGTAATACTTGACTTCTTAAAGTTATTGCATAGAGGACAGAAATAATTCTGTCCTCTAAGCTTAAAGCTTGAACCTACAAACTTCCCATAATAGTTCACACACACGTCGCATGTCATCATTTTCTTATCTTTTATCATATAACACCTAATCTCTTCCTATCGCTTTCCCACACCATAGATGGTACTATGACACGCGTATATAAGATAGCCGAGTCGGTTTAGAGTTAGTGTTAGGGATGATAGGGTGACTGTTTGTACTTGTGTGTGGTACTGCCGTACCCGTAGCCTGTAGCCTCTGTGTAATTAGTTGATGTAATGTTACCGGACACACGGTCTGGTAAAGCCAAATTTCTTGTCGGACCGGTCACCGGTTTTGTCCGTCGGTCTGGCGCTTTTGGAGAGGACTGAGGTTCTCAGTTGCCATAGGTGACCTAGGCATCAACATGTGAAACGTGGTGATCTGGTATTGTAGATTGTAGAATTAATTGTAGCATGGTGTATTGTGTGCAGGGGGAAACTAACAGACACAATACTTGACTGGGAAGATTCTCTACCGGAGAAAGACCTAGAACTAGCAGAGTTGAATTCAAAGTAAGTACTGAGGCCTTTAGTGTGTCGAGTTTGATCAGTTTCAGAAATGTAATTGGCATTATCTGTGATATCGTTGACAGTTCAACTATTGCCTCTTTGTAGTAAGCATCTTTGTTTATACATCTGCTTCACAACCACAGAAGAACTCATTGCTCTTATTCCTATTTTTAGCTCATCGATAGCTTGTAGAATCGCATGAGCGTGCGTCCGTGTGTGCGTCCGTGCATCCGTTCGGCCATGCGTCCGTGCGTCAACAGTTGGGCACAAATCTTAACCGCTTGACGTACGGTCACGATATTCGGGACGTTGGAGGGGATCGTCAAAACGAGATGTGATGTCGAAGCTGGGGGTCAAAGGTCAAAGGTCAAGCAGTGTAAATGAAGGGGGAACATTCCCTCCTTAACTTAAGGTATAGGGAGGAAATGCAGAATTGCAGCACAAATCTAAACGGCTTGACCTAGGCTCGTGATAGTCGGTGTATAGCATCATGGTAGGAAAAGCCATCACTGTGCCGAAATTGGAGGTCACAGGTCAAAGGTCAATGGGGCACAGGGCAGATTTTTGACATTTTCTGAGGCCATGGTCTGACGGAGCGATTGAAAAACTTTTTTGTTTCAGCGGTGACCTACCATTTTTATGGCTTAATTGAAAGGACCATGAAATGTACTTTCTGCTGACATGCGAAGAGTAAGTGTCGGATAACCTTTTGACCCTCAAGAGGAGGGTTAAACATGGATTTGTTTACTGTTAGAAAGAATTTGACTGCTGGGTTTGCTAGTAGAATCTATACATGCCTGGATGTATGAGGCTACAATGTCACAGTGAAATTTCAAAAGCTAAATTTGGTTGAAGAAGGTTTATGCTCCTTAAATTGTATAATTTCTATGGCATTCTGTACTGTCAGTGTGTTACATGTAACTGATGCCACTGCCAGTGCATGTGGTGGTGATAGTAGGGTGTAGTGTCCGCCAGACATGCAGCTTTTTAGAGCAATTTTTCATAATTTTCTACCATCGCTCGCCGCTGCTGGGAAACCCGAGTTAACATAGTATAAACATATGGGCTGCCGGAGTGCCACCCGAATTAACATACAGTATAAACATTTATGTGAAGTTATATAAAAACGTTACCGCCTTGCTAGCTCTATCGAACTGGTCTTGATAGGGTTAGAAGACCATCAGACAATCAGAATCTGTATAGACAATCAGTCGCACAGCCTCGTCCGGCAGCGCTACCGCCTTCGAGAAGAGAGAATCGAGAAGAGGGAGAGAGAGACGAGGGGAGAGAATGAGAGAGAGAGAGAGAGAGCGCCGATGGAGAGAGGAAGAGAGAGAGAGAGAGATGAGAAAGAGAGAGAGAGAGAGAGGAGAGAGAGAGTGAGAACTGCGCCGAAAGAGTGAGAGAGAAGAGAGAAGAGAGAGAGAGAAAGAGAGAGAGAAGAAAGAGACAACGAGGGGGGAGAGTTGAGTGTGAGCGAGCAAGAGAGAGAGGGAGAGAGAGAGCGTGAAGGCAAGCTGAGAGCCAAGAGAGAGATCGAGAGAGAGAGAGAGAGAGAGAGAGAGAGAGATGAGAGAGAGAGAGAGAGGAGAGAGAGAGAGAGAGAGAGAGAAGTGTTGATCGAGCGAAGAGAGAGAGAGAGAGAGGGAGGGAGGGAGAGAGAGCGCGCAAAGGGAAGAGAGAGCAAGAGCGAGAGAGTGAAAGAGAACGAGGGAGAGCGAACGCGGCGATAGGAGGGTGCTCTTGATTCGTTTGCCAGTGAGTTTAGCATCAGAACACCTGCCGTCAGGTGAGCGCTGTCGCTCTGCGGCACTTGTTGATAATTATATATAATATGATAAAATGTATTGTGATTATTGTTGTTATAGTAGATGTTATTATTTATATGACTTTTCACAGGCATGCAGACCTTAGTATTTGCTTAGGAACAACGCTGCAAATAGTACCGAGTGGAAATCTACCGTTGGCTACAAAGCGAAATGGTGGAAAGATTGTCATTGTAAACCTTCAGCCCACAAAACACGTAAGGCGTAGGAGTAAAGACAAGATGATCAGTCAGTATTGCAATGCTAACACGTGTGTTTACCTATAATTAATGACCTGTTATTACCCGAGAAGACCCGTGATTAATTACCTGTGATTTTCTTTGATTAATTAATCATTCGTGTTTTCCCGTCATTACAGGACAAGCAGGCGCACATGCGCATACACGCCTACGTTGACGACGTCATGAGGCAACTCATGCTCCAACTACAGGTGTCCGTAGCCGAATATGCTGAACCAAGGCTCGTGCTGTCCTCCTCACGCCCCACCGTCAACTTCCCCCCAAACAACACTGCTGCTGCACAGAAGAAGCAGCGTAAGAGGAAGGCGCCCGCCGCAGGGGAGGAGGCCGTCTCGAGAAAGGCGGGCAGGAACGAGGAAGCGGCGGTCGGCAACGCGCCCGCGGGAGCGACGAAGGAGGAACGAGGCGGCGCGGCGAGTCCGAAACGCGAGCGATCGTGCACGCCCCCCGACGTCGCGAGACTCGCCCTCAAAGAGCCACCAGGTGGCGCCTGCGGCTTCACGAAGGTCGAGGGAGGCGATGGATCGGAAGCATCACGGCGCTGTAACGACGAGACGTCGCCCTCTGCAGGCCAGTTGCCCACCTCCGGCCGGGGATCAGACGTCGAGGACTCTAAGGTCGTGAAACGCGAACTAACGGACAACGGCGAGGGAACGGCGTCTTCTGTTCGGCCGAGGGAGAACCCCGACGGAGACGTCGGCTGCGCGACGCTCGCGCCTCTCTCGTCCTCGGTCGCCCTCGCGCGCGACATCTTCAGCGAGAACAATTTCGCGAGCGGCGGCGGCGGTGGGCACGACCTCAGGTCGTCCACCCCCGACACTTCTCCCCCCAGCGCCTCTCCCGTGTCATTGGACTGCAGCGGCGAAGCCACGCTCGCCGCCGCGCCGCACAACGATCCTGCGGAGGTGGACGGCGGACGTGTCTCCGACGACGACGAGGAGGAGGGCTCGGCGACACCCCAGCAAAATCTGTCGGGTGTGAATGGCGGCGGCGGGTCATGCAGCGGCGGCAGCAGCAGCGGTAGCAGTGGCGGCAGCAGCAGCAGCGGCAGCAGCAGTAGCGGCGGCAGCAGCAGCAGCGGCAGCAGCGTCGTGTCGGACCTGTCTGCGACGGTGAGCGAGACCTTCAGTGTGTCGAGCGTGAGCTCTGCGGCGGGCGAGCCGTCGCGCGGCGACCACGACACGGCCAGCGACGCTTCACGCTGACGGCAGCGTCACGTAGAGGTGACCCGTGTCGTGTAGGTACAGGTCTACCTAACTCCTGTCACATAGCGGTGACCGCGACACGGCCAGCGACGCTTCACGCTGACGGCAGCGTCACGTAGAGGTGACCCGTGTCGTGTAGGTCCAGGTCTACCTAACTCCTGTCACATAGAGGTGACCACGACACGGCAAGCAACGCTACACGCTGACGGCAGCGTCACGTAGAGGTGACCCGTGTCGTGTAGGTACAGGTCTACATGAAGCCTGTCACATAGAGGTGACACATGTCATGTAGCTATACCTCTACTTAAATCCTGTCACATAGATACACCTGTAACTGCATTGTCATGCATTACACAGGTACATCTTCACATATTCCCGTCACATACAGGTGACCGGTGGTATGTAGGTACATCGCTGTATGTAGCCTGTCACATAGAGGTGACCCGTGTCACGCAGGTATATCTCTGCATGAATCCTGTCACATACAGATGACCCGTGTCACGCAGGTACATCTCTGCATGCAGTCTGTCACATATAGATGACCTGTCACGTGTCGTCTAGGTACAGTTCTACGTGAATCCCTGTACTCTAGAGGTAAGACGTCATGTAGCTGGTACGTTGTCTTTGTCACATTACGGTGGTGACATTACATCACATAGCTACAGCTCTACTTGAATCATGTCACGTAGAGGTGGCACTTGTCAGGTAAGCTATACATCTACATAAACCCTGTCACATAGATGCACCTGTAATTGAATTGTCACATAGTAGCATAAACTGAATCCAGCAGTATCATTCGCGTTTGAGTATCGCATTTATTTTTATATTTATTAAAGGGGCATTTCATGCCAAATCATCCATGACCAACTTTTTAGCTCAGCTGACAAAGTCGGATGCAGCTTGTAGAATCGCATGATCCGTCCGTCAACAGTTGGACACAAATTTTAACCGCTCGATGTACGGTCTTGATATTCGGGACGTCGGGGGGGGGGGGGTCGCGAAAAGGACTCGCAATGTCGAATTTTGAGGTCAAGGGTCAAAGGTATCAAGGAAATCAAGGGGGTCAAGGGAATATTTCCCCCTTAACTTAAGGTATAGGAGGAAATACGGAATTGTGGCACAAATCTCAACGGCTCGACCTACGCTCTTAATATTCGATGTATAGTGTGATGGGGAGGAAACCCATCACCAGCGCGAAATTGGAGGTCACAGGTCAAAGAGCAGTGGGGGAAAGGTCAGATATCAGACATTTCTGAGGACATGGTCTAACGGACGCGAGTGCAAAAAACTTTTTTGTTTCAGCGCTGACCTACCGTTATTTATCACTTTTATTGAAAGGACCATGAAATCTACTTTCCGCTGACGTGCGAAGAGTAAGTGTCTGATAACCTTTTGACCCTCAAGAGGAGGGTTAAACATGATTGTTGACTGTTAACAAAGACTGAACTGCTTTTGGCTATTAGAGCCCCCCCCCACCACCACGCTCCGCGCTCGACGCCTATCCATATAACATGTTAATAGCGAAGTCATACACAGCTGTATCTTTATACTGTACTACCAGAATAGTATAAGCAAAGCCTATCATAGATTTTATATTCTGTATTAGTAGTATCCTAGATATATGCTCTGAGCGCGAACGCGGTGGCAGGAGGGCGCACTTGATTCGGTTGCCAGTGAGTTCATCAGAAGATACACTGGCTACAGTACACGTCAGTTGACCGCTGTCGTATTGGTCGTCTGTTGTATTTAATTGAACTTTTGAAGGGAGGTCACCTGTGAGCCCCTCAGTTAAGGGTGGCATATGAAATGTATCACTAAAGTTTATATCTCTACAAATTTTAATGTATAATTAAGACTGATTAATTCACTTGATAAAACCAAACTTTTATGTTTCCACAGTAAATTTGTAAAACTGTAATTAATGCAACAGTGACCATGGTGACATAATGTTCAGATAATGATTGTTTAGATTTTCCCAGCATACTAGCAATCATTTATTGTGAGAAAAAAAATGATAACTCCCCCCTAACCTGTATGCAAATTTATGAAACAATTTAAAAATGACACATTGTTCTATTAACCAATGTAATGATGTTCGGATGTAAACAGAATAATAGACTTTTTACTTGCTTGTGAACCAATTTAATTCATGTCAGATAGCCAGATATAACAAAACACAAATGTCAATGAGAATTACCTTTATTCATTAGGAACATTCAACAATGTACACATACACCCTCATCCCAATGGCATTTACTAAATTGTACATACGACGGAGTGGTCTCTACTCCTGCTACCTGGCTGCCCTACAATTAGTAAGTGATTAGAATAACTCTGAGCACTATGATCCGTTTTTCGACGCTTGACACGGCGCCCCCCTGACGAGACCTTCGGCACACAGCGATGTGCGTGTAACAATTTATGATTAAATAATAAACAACAGCTATGGTCTTAGAACGGTCGTGCGTTTCTAGAATTTTGCGACGAGTTCCCCTTCAGCTTCTTGTCCGACTCGGGGAGAGCTTGCCCTCCCTTGCGATGACTGCGAGAAGTTCTGCTTGCGACGCATTGATGTGCTTCACAAACTCCGCGCCTCGATAAGCAGTAAGTGACGAGGGGCGGGGTCTAGCTTGTCTCAGCAAAATGCCCTCGCACGCCGGCATAGAGATCACCAGCCACCTGCTGCCTCCACGGCCAGTTCGACTGCAAGACACACGCGACACAATGAAGCCATGAACGCACGATAACAATAGTGTGCGTCGATGAAACTAATGAAGACCACGCAAACAAACAGCTGTGGAGGGAAGATCGGCTTTTCCGGTTTTACACGATTTATGAAGCAGCACACGATGGAATGCTTTCAAGTAAAGACTCATGAGGCAATCTCGCACATGGAGTGAACACGAACACACAGGAACGATAAGAGCAAGTTTCAAATTGAAAACTGAATTGGCGATATATCAACCTGCGACAAGCAGCAGGCCTTGTACTGGGACAAGAAAGTTTCAGATATGGGTCCATGAGTTTAGCGAAAGAGCACCAGAGACTTGCGGCTTAGCAAAGGGACCGCGAATTACTATTACCACAACAAGAACGCCATCACTAATATTCACGGACGGAAGATCGTGTGCTGCCTTAGAAATATTGTGGACAACTACATTTAATGCGCTTGAAGCTAAACACCGTCAGACAAAACAAAGCACCCATTACTTATCAACTAAAGAGTGAACACACACACAGATGACACCGTACAGCCGAATTCGACAGCACATCCCACACCGCACATAGAAATACTAGGCAGCCAGTTACTACGACTATACTAGTTTCTACTCGAAAGCGAGTGCTTCACTGTTATGTTGCCTGCTTCGCAGCTCGGTCAATCGCACGCCTCTGGTCAGCAGCGCTTGCTTGTGGCGGCGTCTAAAGGTCGGCAAGCCCAAACTGAGCGAACGCAGGCTACCTCACGGTACTGGGCCAGCTCGAAGCTTCAATGACCTGCACCTGAACCAACCAAACACAGCCGTTAACTATCAACATTTCACCATAAAATATCTTTTAAAATATGAAGCGTTGGCACGTCACGTTCAAGTGCGGCGCTTTCCAACAAAAAACTTACAGTGGTTGTTCCGTAGGAAAGGATCGATGTGTAGGATACACTGAATCCAGAGCACAGCAAAGGAACCAAGTTCATTTTACCATAACAATAAAAGCAGATAAGAGTCTAGAATCAAAGAACACTTCTGCAGCCTCTTTCTTTATGGATATGTCATGCAAACATCGGAATGTGAAGGGCTATATAAGCCACAATTAAGTGACATATCGGCAATTACTACTAGCTGCCGAATATTCTTTTGTCAGAATAAAATGATTCTGGGACACGCCAACATATAACAGCCCTACACAATTTTCCGCTGATTATTTGCGACACTCGCGCTTAAGCTTAAGAGCATCACAACAGTCGTACTATGATTAATCAAGCCGTCCCCCACTATGTAATCGCAACAATTCACATAACAAATTTTACAATCCGAACGTTGCAGTCAACGTTCAAGTGCGGCGCTTTCACACAAAAATTGTTCAGCGCAGCGTCGGGCATCGCGTACCATGCTTCATTGGATTTGGTCTGGGCAGGCAGATCCGACACGGCTCACAGACAATCCGAACGTTTGATGCGGGACGATACCCTTGTAGAACAACTTTCCGTCTCCAAGAAGATCTGGCACCGTCAGTGATGGAGATCACGTTGGTGGGCGATGTAAGCCGACACGTCACCGCCTGCAACAAGCCACACGAATCACGAACGCGCACGGAAACACTGCTGCAATCACGCAACTGTGGCATCCTGCACACACGCAACACACACTCAACTCTCAGCAGGCATGAATAAACATGGCTGCTACGAATACATTTTCCTTCACTGCTGGCTTAAGAGTTGAGGTTTATGACAATATCATCGACCTCCGTATAATTGTTAACAGGCAAGCTCGGATAAAATATGCGTAACATGCCCACCTGTGTCTCAATAACAGGCAGGCTGTTCAGGAGCCACCACCGTATGCCTCGCTCATCTTGGCAGCTCTCTCCAGCAGTCGAGAGTGGAGGTAGAACACATCACCGGGTATGCCTCACGACCGGCTGGCGACGCAGCAGTAGAGCGACATCTGGCGATAGGCCACAGCCTGCAACAAATCAATGAAAAGAATTACTTTCACCGTAACTCGTAAATACTAGTATTTCTAACAATTACAAACATTGAAGCAGAAACCATTTACAATAAGGCTATATGTGTTGTTCCATAGGAAGGGTGTGTAGGACATACATGATCCAGGCACCAGCAAAAGGAACCAGTTCTTTACCATAACATAATAAAAGCAGAATAAGAGTCTAGAATCAAAAGAACACTTTCTGCAGGCTCTTTTCTGTTATGGATATGTCATTGCAAAACATCGGGATGCTGAAGGGCTTTAAGAATAAGCACAATTAGTGACATAATCGCAATTCTTTACCATTAGTGACCGGAGTTTACCTAGCTGCCGAATATTCTCTTGTCAGAATAAAATGGTTCTGGGACAGCCAACATATAACAGCCCCTACACAATTTCCGCTGATTATTTGCGACACTCGGCTTAAGCTTAAAGAGCATCCACCACAGTCGTACTATGTAATCAACCCGTCCCCCACCGCCGCACTTCGCACCTGCTTCGACAGATCGTCGTAGATGATGAGTCCATGTTTGCCGTTGTCTCTGAAGTACTCTCCCATTGAGCAACCGGAGTATGGGGCAAGGTACTGCAGCGGGGCGGCATCGGACGCGGTGGCCGAGACGACGATGGTGTACTTCATGGCATCTGCCAATAAACACGAGAATCATTTATCAGGCGATGCTTCTGTCATCGTTTAGAATTCATTCAGTTCTTTAATCACCCGAGTACACCAGAAATTCAACGTCCCAACCAGGTAACATTAGGCCACACACCTGGCCAGTACATCCAGTTATTCATGAAACTTTATACAGGTACATACCAGCATTGCTCAACCTCTTGACCAGCTGAGCGACGGTACTTCTCTTCTGACCAATGGCGACATAGATACAGTAGAGCTTCTTCTTCTCATCTGCGCCAGTATTGAACGACTTCTGGTTGATGATCGCGTCAATGGCAATGGCAGTTTTACTGAAAACAAACCAGGAAGAAATGATCAATTAATTATCTAAATACAGGGGTCGAAATTAACGGTATCCCGATATCCGTGGGATAGTAGATTCTTGTGTTGGATACCAGATTTCAATGCTTGGTATCCCACCGGGATAGTAAAGAAAAATCGTCAAAATCGGGATAGTGGTTGTTGAGTTATTAACTTTATACGGCAGCGCATCTGAGCGGGCTCATGCACCCTTACTATGCCACACTAGCGTTATACAGCAGGCATAGCATATTTGCAAGCGCAAGCATGGCCGGTGTGATGTGTATACATTGTATCAAGCGAACCAGACAATGCGTCTAGGCAATACGTCTGCAGTGTACTGTGGAGGCGTAGGTACTAACAAGAGCCGCAGAGCGTCTGGGCTCATCTGAGGTCTGTTGCTACGGTTATAAACGTAACATTTAAGTTGTGCGTAGTGACACCTTTGTTAGGCGCGGATATGCAGATACGCAGTTGCGTACACATCATTTCAGCAACCTTCTGCATTCTGCATACCTCCCCAATCCCATTAGTTGATACAAATCGCGTGCCTGAAACTCCTGTTTTATGGTGCATTGTGACCCTAACCCTATTAAAAAAAAAAAATTAATTGTAAAAATTATTTGTTGTTATGAAATTGTTGTAAAAATTATTTGTTATGAAATTGTTGTAAATAAATCATGTAAATATTTTCCTTAATTGGAAAGAAATAGTTAAATGGATAAAGATAGAAAAATACAGAAAATATCTGTATTAGTAGTATCCTAGATATATGCTCTGAGCGCGAACGCGGTGGCAGGAGGGCGCACTTGATTCGGTTGCCAGTGAGTTCATCAGAAGAATACCTGGCTACAGTACACGTCAGTTGAGCGCTGTCGTATTGGTCGTCTTGTTGGTATTTAATTGACTTTTGAGGGGGTCACCTGTGAGCCTCTAGTTAAGGTGGCATGAATGTATCCTAAAGTTATATATCTCTACAAATTTTTTATGTATAATTAAGACTGAATAAATTCACTTGATAAAACAAACTTTTATGTTCGCAGTAAATTGTAACTGTAATTAATGCACAGTGACCATGGTGACATAAGTTCAGTAATGTTGTTTAGATTTTCCCAGCATATTAGCAATCATTTATTGGAGAAAAAAAGTGATAACTCCCCCATAACCTGTATGCCAATTTATGACAATTTAAAATGACACATTTCTTATTAACAATGTCATTGATGTTCGGTGTAACAGTATAGACTTTTACTTTGCTTGAATGCATTTATTCATGTCAGATAGCCAGATAATAACAAAAACACAAATGTCAATGAGAATTACCTTTATTCCATTAGGAAACTTTCAACAATGTACACATACACCCCCCCAATGGCATTTACTAATTGTACATACAGACGGAGTGGTCTCGTACTCCTCTACCTGGTGCCTACATTTTAGTAAGTGATTAGAATAACTCTGAAGCACTAAAATGATCGTTTTCGGCTTGACACGGCGCCCCCTGACGAGACCTTCGGCACACAGCGTGTGCGGTAACAATTTATTGATTAAATAATAAACACAGCTATGGTCTTAGAACTCGTGCGTTTCTAGGAATTTCGCGACGAGTTCCTTCAGCTTCTTGTCCGACTCGGGGGAGAGCTTGCCCTCCTTGGCGATGACTGCGAGAAGTTCCTGCTGCGTCGCCTTGATGTGCTTCACAAACTCGCGCTCGAAGCTAGTGACGAGGGCGGGGTCTAGCTTGTCCAGCATGCCTCGCACGCCGGCATAGATCACAGCCACCTGCTGCTCCACGGGCATCGGCACTGCAAGCACACGCGACAATGAAGCCATGAACGCACGAGTAACAATAGTGTGCGTCGTGAAACTAATGAGACACGCAAACAAACAGCGTGAGGAAGATCGGCTTTCGTGGTTTACACGAGTTATGAAGCAGCACACGAGGAATGCTTCAAGTAAGACATGAGCAACTCGCACATGGAGTGAACACGACAACAGGAACGAAAGAGCAAGTTTCAAATGGAAACGAATTGGCGATATTCCACCTGCGACAAGCAGCAGCTTGTACTGGGACAAGAAAGTTTCAGATATGGGTCCATGAGTTTAGCCGAAAGAGCACCGAGACTCTGCGGCTAGCAAATGGACCGCGATTACTTTACCACAACAAGAACGCACACATAATTCACGGACGGAAATTGTGTGCTGCCTGAAAATATTGTGGACAACTACATTTAAATGCGCTTGAGCTAACACCGTCAGACAAAACAAACACCCATTACTTTCAACTAAAGAGTGAACACACACACAGATCACCGTACAGCCGAATTCCGACACACATCCCACACCGCACACTAGAAATACTAGCACCAGTACTACGACTATACTAGTTCTACTCGAAACGAGTGCTCACTGTATTGTCCCTGCTTCAGCAGCTCGGTCAATCGCACGCCTCTGGTCAGCAGCGCCTGTGTGGCGGCGTCAAGGTCGGAGCCAAACTGAGCGAACGCGGCTACCTCACGGTACTGGGCCAGCTCGAGCTTCATGGACCCTGCCACCTGGAACCACCAAACAACAGCCGTTAACTTCAACAATTTCACATAAAAATCTTTTAAAATCTGAACGTTGCAGTCAACGTTCAAGTGCGGCGCTTTCCAACAAAAAACTTACAGTGTTGTTCCGTAGGAAGGGTGTGTAGGACATACATGAATCCAGGCACCAGCAAAAGGAACCAGTTCTTTACCATAACAATAAAAGCAGATAAGAGTCTAGAATCAAAGAACACTTTCTGCAGCCTCTTTCTGTTATGGATATGTCATTGCAAACATCGGAATGTGAAGGGCTATAATAAGCACAATTGTGACTATCGCAATTCTACTAGCTGCCGAATATTCTTTTGTCAGAATAAAATGATTCTGGGACAGCCAACATATAACAGCCCCTACACAATTTCCGCTGATTATTTGCGACACTCGGCTTAAGCTTAAAGAGCATCCACCACAGTCGTACTATGTAATCAAGCCGTCCCCCACTATGTAATCAACAATTTCACATAAAAATATTTTACAATCCGAACGTTGCAGTCAACGTTCAAGTGCGGCGCTTTCCAACAAAAATTTTCGGCGCGCGTCGCGCATCGCGTACCTGCTTCATTGATTTGGTCTGGGCAGCAGATCCGACACGGCTCACAGACAGACCGACGTTGATGGCGGGACGGATACCCTTGTAGAACAACTCCGTCTCCAAGAAGATCTGGCCGTCAGTGATGGAGATCACGTTGGTGGGGATGTAAGCCGACACGTCACCGGCCTGCAACAAGCCACACGAATCACGAACGCGCACGGAAACACTGTGCAATCACGCAACTGTGGCATCCTGCACACACGCAACACACACTCAACTCTCAGCAGGTGAATAAACATGGCTGCTACGAATACATTTTCCTTCACTGCTGGCTTAGCAGGTTGAGGTTTATGACAATATCATCGACCCCGTATAATTGTTAACAGGCAAGCTCGGATAAAATATGCGTAACATGCCCACCTGTGTCTCAATAACAGGCAGGGCTGTCAGGGAGCCACCACCGTATGCCTCGCTCATCTTGGCAGCTCTCTCCAGCAGTCTAGAGTGGAGGTAGAACACATCACCGGGGTATGCCTCACGACCGGGTGGGCGACGCAGCAGTAGCGACATCTGGCGATAGGCCACAGCCTGCAAACATCAATGAAAAAGAATTACTTTCCACCTAACTTGTAACTACTAGTATTTCTAAATTACAAAACCATGAAGCAGAAACCATTTACAATAAGGCTATAGTGTTGTTCCATAGGAAGGGTGTGTAGGACATACATGAATCCAGGCACCAGCAAAAGGAACCAGTTCTTTACCATAACAATAAAAGCAGATAAGAGTCTAGAATAAAAGACACTTTCTGCAGCTCTTTTCTGTTATGGATATGTCATTGCAAACATCGGAATGTGAAGGGCTAGAATAAGCACAATTGTGACTATCGCAATTCTTTACCATTAGTGACCGGAGTTTACCTAGCTGCCGAATATTCTTTTGTCAGAATAAAATGGTTCTGGGACAGCCAACATATAACAGCCCCTACACAATTTCCGCTGATTATTTGCGACACTCGGCTTAAGCTTAACGAAGCATCCACCACAGTCGTACTATGTAATCAACCCGTCCCCCACCGCCGCACTTCGCACCTGCTTCGAAATCAGATCGTCGTAGATGATGAGTCCATGTTTGCCATTGTCTCTGAAGTACTCTCCCATTGAGCAACCGGAGTATGGGCAAGGTACTGCAGCGGGGCGGCATCGGACGCGGTGGCCGAGACGACGATGGTGTACTTCATGGCATCTGCCAATAAACACGAGAATCATTTATCAGGCGATGCTTCTGCCATCGTTTAGAATTCATTCAGTTCTTTAATCACCCGAGTACACCAGAAATTCAACGTCCCAACCAAGTAACATTAGGCCACACACCTGGCCAGTACATCCAGTTATTCATGAAACTTTATGCAGGTACATACCAGCATTGCTCAACCTCTTGACCAGCTGACGACGGTACTTCTCTTCTGACCAATGGCGACATAGATACAGTAGAGCTTCTTCTTCTCATCTGCGCCAGTATTGAACGACTTCTGGTTGATGATCGCGTCAATGCAATGGCAGTTTTACTGAAAACAACCAGGAAGAAATGATCAATTACTGATCTAAATACAGGGGTCGAATTAACGGTATCCCGATATCCGCAGGATAGTATGATATTTTGTGTTGGATACCAATTTCAATGCTTGGTATCCCGCCGGGATAGTAAAAAAAATCGTCAAAATCGGATAGTGGTTGTTGAGTTATTAACTTTATACGGCAGGGCATCTGAGCGAGTGCGCACGATCTGAGCGGGCTCATGCACCCTTACTATGCCACACTAGCGTTATACAGCAGGCATAGCATATTTGCAAGCGCAAGCATGGCGCCGGTGTGATGTGTATACATTGTATCAAGCGAACCAGACAATGCGTCTGCAATGTACTTTGGAGGCGTATGTACTAACAAGAGCCGCAGAGCGTCTGGGCTCATCTGAGGTCTGTTGTCTACGGTTATAAACGTAACATTTAAGTCGTGCGTAGTGACACCTTTGTTAGGCGCGGATATGCAGATACGCAGTTGCGTACACATCATTTCAGCAACCTTGAAATCGATGCCTGAAACTCCTGTTTTATGGTGCATTGTGACCCTAACCCTATTAAAAAAAAAATTAATTGTAAAAATTATTTGTTGTTATGAAATTGTTGTAAAAATTATTTGTTTTATGAAATTGTTGTAAATAAATCATGTAAATATTTTCCTTAATTGGAAAGAAATAGTAAATGGATAAAGATAGAAAAATATCCACCAC